TCTCTCTCTCCCCCCCCCCATGCCCCTTTGTCCTGCAATAAATACGCCTTTGAGGAACTCCCAGGGACACTCCTTCGATCTCGCCTCAGATTTTGAGAAATCTTCTGAAGGAATGAGTAAAAAGCCAACACTTTTTAGGGAGTTTTCCTCTAGCCAAGGGAGTTCCTCAAAGTTTTCCCTTTTCCTTCAAAAGAATGAGACATTGTTTTTACGGCGCTGATGGTTGTCGCGATCGCAGTGATGTCGCTATGGTACGTGCGCCACTCGCTGGTTCATTTAGTTCCGAACCGCACCTCCACTCCCCTGATCCCACACACCTCTCTCTACTCCGGAATAATGAAATTGGAAATTGGATGCTCCGATGGACCTCGTCCACTGCTGCGCCAATAAACTGGTAGTCGACGGGACCGTCGTGACGTTCTTTCCCTTCGCCCCATTTGATGGACATCGGTTTTAGTTTGGCTTTTGATTACACCCCTGACGCCTCGCGATTCTGTTCCGCGCGCGTGAACTTGGCGGCGCGCCACCTGCCTGCTCGAATTGTGATACCGGACGATATTTACTTGTTTGAATGATTTATTGGTTACAAACTGGGTTATGAACTGACTAGGCCATAATAAAGCTCATAGCTGTTGGACGGGACGCGCAACGCTAAACCGTAGTTTTATTGCTTTATGCTTCGTGTGGCCCCGTGTTAGCAGGCAGCTCTGAGCCTGCCGTGCGGTTTAATTACCAAGCGTGCGAATTGCCCAACAGCTGGTAGTACTGGGCGGTTAAAAGACTCAAGTTTTATGGTTTTCTCTTTCTTGGTTTTGTTACTTTTTCCCCTCCTGGATATGGGGAAATAGAGCAGCAGCGGCGATCGCCTAGCTCTCAAACCTCCACGCATTTTGCAGCCCTCCAGCGCAAAATCATCTCCTCCCCCGGAGAGGCCAGCCGGCGCACAAACGGACGTGTTTACGAGCCTATACGCCCCATCAACCCTGGAGGGCCCGGCTGCACCACGGCGCGCTGCTGCGCCTCATGCTTTCGAGATTCCTAGGCTTCATAATATTTGAAGAAAATAAATATCTTAGTTATCAGGTCTCGTCGATTATTGACATTTCTTCGGACATTTCGACTGGCGATGCCCGCTCGTAGCGCTATGTTTGCTGCCGAATCTAGTGTACGACAATCGTGTCGCTCTTAGAAAAGTGAGTGGCACAACGGTAAGCGTCTATTTTGCTCTACAGAAACACACACACACAAACAAATTTACAAAA